CGACAAGAAGGGCCGACCTTACGAACGGAGGAATAAGGTAAACGGCAAGAAGAGGAGGAAGAAGCACAAGAAGAAGCCCGACCTGAGGAAGGGAGTCAACCTGTCGAAGCAGTGCAACCACGTGACTTCTTGGGACAAAGGATGGCCAGATTGTGAGTTTGCGCTAAGGTCGGGGTGGAGGTGGAGTGGAGTCGGGAGGAAGGGAAAGGTAGAGTGGTAGAAGTGTAGAGTGGGTAGAGTCGGCGGTAGAGTAGGGTTGTGCGTGAGGTAGAGTCGGGAGGAAGGGAAAGGTAGAGGTTGCGGTTAGAACGAAGGTAGATTGGGTAGAGTCGGGAGGAAGGGAAAGGTAGATTGCGGGGCATAGAGTGCGAGGTAGAATTAGGTTAAGAGTCTGGTAGTAGAGCGCCGGACGCGTAGCAGTTGGGTTAGAAGCGAGCAGGTACATTGGGTAGCAGTTGGGTAGAGAAGCGAGGTAGAGTCGCGGGCAGAAGGGAAAGTAGAAGCTGGTAAGCTAGACGGAGGTTAGAGTTAAGTCAAGGAGTTGCGGTAGAAGTGGGAGGCTAGAGTCCGGTAGGAAGGAAAGGTAGAGTTGGGTAGATGGGAGGTAGAGTGGCTAGAGTCGGAGGAAGGGAAAGTGAGTTGTCGGTTAGAGCGCGGAGTAGAGTTTTCGTCGGGTAGAAGTGGAGGTGGAAGTCGGTAGCAAGGAAAGCGTAAGAGATTAGGGTAGATTGGGTAGAGCGAGAGGTAGATTTGGGTAGAGTTGGGTAGAGAGGCAAGGTAGATCGGGAGGAAGGGAGGTAGAGCGGGTAGAGCGGGAGGTAGAGTTAGCGTAGATTGGGTAGACGTGGGAGTAGAGTCGTAGGAAGGCGAACAAGGTAGAGTGGCTAGAGTGGAGAGGTGGAGTCGGGAGGAAGGGAAAAGTAGACTTGGGTAGAGCGGGAGGAAGGAAAGGGTAGAGTTGGTTAAGAGGGGAGGTTGGTCGGGAGAAGGGAAAGGTAGAGCTGGGTAGAGCGGGATGGTTAGAGTTAGTAGAGTTGGGTAGAGTGGCGAGTAGAGTCGTGGTAGGACAGGGAAAGCGTGTAGATTCGGGATAGCAGGCGGAGGCTAGAGTTGGTTAGATCCGGCGAGGAAAGGGAAAGTTGAGTTGGGTTAGAGCAGGAGTAGAGTTGCGGTAAGTGGGAGGTAGAGTTAGGTAGCAGTTGGTAGAGTAAGAGGTAGAGTCCGGTACGGAAGGGGAAAGGTAGAGTTGGGTAGAGCGGGAGGTAGAGTTTGGTAGAGTCGGGAGGAAGGGAAAGTTGAGTTGGTAGAGCGGGAGGGTGGTGAGAGTCGGGGGAAGGGAAAGTAGAGTTGGGTTAGAGCGGGAGTAGAGTCGCGGAGGAAGGGAAAGGTTAGAGTTGGTTAGAGTGGGAGGTAGAGTCGGAAGGAAGGGAAAGGTAGAGTTGGATTACGACGGGAAGGTAGAGTCGGGGGAAGGGAAAAGTAGAGTTGGGTAGACGGGAGTAGCAGTCGTGAGAAGGGAAAGCGCGCTTAAAAGCGGGAAGGGGTTTTGTTAGAGGGAGGTAGAGTCGGGAGGAAGGCGAAAGGTAGAGTTGGGTAGCAGTCGGGAGAGGAAGGGAAAGGTAGAGTGGGTAGAGTCGCGAGGAAGGGAAAGGTAGAGTTGGGTAGAGTCGGGAGGAAGGAAAGTTAGAGTTGGGGTAGAGTCTGCGGAGAAGGAAAGCGCTAGAGTTGGTTAAGAGTGGAGCGAGAGTCGGGAGAAAACACAAAAACCCGGGAAATAGAGTTGGGTAGAGTCGCGAGGTTAGAGTTGCGGTATCCATGTTGCTGAGTAGAGTCGGGAATAGAGCGCAGGAAGGATAGAGCTTGAGAGGAGAGAGGTCGAAGCGAGTAGAGCCACGGAGTTAGGAGGAGAAGCGAAATAAGAAGTATGGAGTAGAGCAGGGAGTAGTAGTAGAGTTGGGTAAACAGAGAACGCCTCAGAGTGTGTGAAAGTTAATAGCAAGTTGAACAAAGGTAGAGTTGAGAATAGAGCAGGAGAGAGTAGAGTGTGGCCGTTAGAATAAGTACCATGCATGGTAGATAGTCGAGTAGGAAGGGAAAGTAGAGTATGTAGCGTACAGCAGCAGCCAGACGTAAGCATCAAGCGCTCAGGAAAAGGAAAAGGTAGAGTATGAGAATAGGATGGCTCGTAAATGGATCTCAACCAGATGTGCAGGATCTATGTTCGGAGTAAGTGGAAAGTAGTAAGTTCGGCGCATCAAAGAGCGATTGTTGACCGCTCCAGAAAATTGGTACGATGTTGGGAGTAGGATCAGACGCTAAAGTCCGGATTTTAGGAAGGGCGAAAGTAAAGAGTTGGTGTGAGGTAGAGCAGAGAGGTGAAGGTAAGTCAGGCCTAGTAAGGACAAAGGTAGAGATCTGGAGCTAGAAGTCCGGAGGTAAAGTTAGCGAACTGAATAATGCCTGTCGCTCGAGGATAGATTTGCCGACATAGATGTTGCAGAATTAGCAGCATAGAGGAGGCTTAAAGAACTGCAGCTAATATATAGATCACGCAGCTACACGCCGTTAGAAACGTTATTCCCCTTTCAGTGTTAGAACGAGAGCGTAATTTGCTAACAAAGTAGAAACGCAGCATCCTGGCTAGAGTTGTATTTTTCGGCTAGAACGGGACGGTACAAGCTGCTAGCTTAGTATACGCAGGGTAAGACCATTTGGTAGCGAGATGTTGTGCTAGCCAGTGTCTGCAACTTGCTGAAAAAACTAACCATACCATTTACATTTTAATACAGAATTATTAAATCCAGTCACGATACTTAGCAATTACTAGCTTGAGTTAACACTACGAAGTCAAACACACATTCTCAAGCCTTATCATATTAAAAGCAGTAGTAGTAAAAATTCTTACTCATCTTAAGTCTAATAGCATAATATATTTCAGCGAGCTATACCTACGTACTTCTATTCTTCTATCAAGCAATAAATCTTTCCTAGTAAATCCCGCAACCTGTAACTATGAACCCTCTCAATAAAAGTCAATAAATTCTCAGCTGTACTAGCGAATAGTCCAATATGTTTGCATATACATGTACTCAGTCACATAGGAAGTATCTCCTTAATATCATAAGATTCTCAGTGTACTAAGGAAGGTCAATAGGCATAAGATTATCTCTCTCAGGTATTTCTTCTGCCCTACTAGGAAAGTACTTTATAATAGCAATCTCATCCGTCCTGTATATCTCATAAACTTCCCCAATAGCATAAATTCCTCAAGTGCTCCACCCTTTAGGCAATTAAGTAACAATAGCATACAATCTATCTTTCAGATGTACATAAGGAAGTCCTTCTATATATGCCTCATGTTCACAATTCATCAGGTACGAGGACATGTCCTAAATGCATTAAATTACTCAGATTACTAGCGAATTCTCACATAGCCATAATAATTCTCCCAGGTGTTGACTAGGAAGTCAATAAGCCTTATTATAATTCTCATGCTGTCACCTCAGCAATAAGTCAATAGTCTATAAACTCTATCTCACTCGCCTACATGGGCGGAAGTCAAACATACAATATTCTACAGTGTACTATGAACTCAATAGCATCAAATTCTCAGTGTACTATGGAAGTCCAAATACCCGCATAAAAAATTACTGCCAGGGTGTACTATAGCAACACAAGTACGCAATTAAATTTTCAGCTATGTAACTTAGAAGTCAATAGCATAAAAATATCTCAGTGTAACTAGGAAGTCAATCAGCATAAAATTTTCAGTGTACCTATGGTAAGTCAATTAGCAATAACAATTCCTCAGATGCCTATTTCTTCATGAGACAGTCACCACACCTAGCCGATAACGATTTCTCAGTTGCTACATGAAAGTCTCTAATAGCATAAATCTTTCCATCCGATGCCATTGACATCATACGGCAACTGTACACAACAACATAGCTAAATTCTCTACGCCAATAAATGTTACTATATGAAGTCCAATCAGTGCTATTTAAAATCTCCCCTTCAGGCTGGTGCTCCCTACGTAGGAAACGTCACCCACTAGGCCAAATTCTCAAGCATCTTGACATAGGCAAGTCACCACCCAGAGCATAACACCTTCCCAGTTGTCTAGGAAGTCAAGCGAATAGACGATCAAAAAATTCTCAGTAAAATTCTGCCTACTAGCGATAGCAAGTTTAGCATTAAATACTTCTCATGGTACTGCTTCTTTGAACTAGGGATAAGCTCCTATGGTAAGTCCGAAAATAGCTATAAATCTCAAATGCTACTATTGTCAATAGCAACGACATTCTCAAATACATATGAAAGCAAATAAGCGAACACGTCACCCAAATGCAGCCCTAAATTAAACAAAAGGGCATCATGTAAATTGAAGAAACTAAAATATCTCTTATTTGAATTTCTCCTTCATTTCTAAAAAGCCTCGCCTTCCGACTTCACCACCACCTTACTCACCTCACCTCCCCACCCACACCCTTCCCAATCCCTCCTACACCCCTACACCCCTCCCCTACCCTCACCGGCACACCCTCCCTTCACCCATTACCCATCCCTTCACCCTTCCCATCACTTCACCCTTCCCCGTTGGACCCCTCCCCTCCCCTCCCATTTCACTCCCCCTCAACCCATCCCCATCCCTCTCCCCTCCCCCCTCCCCCACTTCTCAACCCATCACCCACTCTCCCTATTCACAATTTCGCACCCGCATATCCTCCCTACCCCATCCCTCACCTCAACCCCTCCCCACCATTAATTAAAAAATTATCGGCCCAAAATTATTTCCTTGGTTTCCAGAAGCAGACCGATAAAAAAATTTAATAAATAGGAATTGGGGGAAATTTTATCGGACCAAAATTTTAATTGAAACCCAGGATTTGGCAGAATGAGAAATAAAATTTATTTATCGGCCCCCCAAAAATCCCCTTTCTTCCATCTCTTCCCCCCCCCTCTACACCCCTCCCCACCCTCGTCAGCATACGGCACGGGCGATGATCCTGAAGAAGCAGGACAGCAAGCACCTGGACGTGATCCTGGGCGACGGTGAGGCCCACTTCGCCGTCACTCGCTCGACCAACGCCGACGGCCAGGCTTACCTCGGCTTCTACGTCGAGGGCCAGAAGATCCTGTCGCCCCAGGCCCATGGCATCATCGGTGCGTGTGGGCGGTTTTGTTTTTTTTAATTACTTTTAATAATTCATTGTTTTTTTTTTAATTGGTACGTTTTGACGTTTGTGTTTTTTTAATTAACTTTTGAATTGAATTTTGTTTTTTAATTACTTTTAATATTTCATTGTTGTTGTTTTTTTTAAATTTTAATTTTCGTTGTTTTTTAATTTACTTTTAATATTCATTGTTGTTTTTTTTTTTTAATAATCATTGTTGTTTTTTTTTATTTTTAATAATTCATTGTTTTTTTTTTTTTTTTAATAATTCATTTTAATTACTTTTAATAATTCATTGATGTTTTTTTATTTTTTAATAATTCATTGTTGTTTTTTTCATTACTTTTAATAACTCACTGTTTGTTTTTTTTTTATTACTTTTAATAATTCATTGTTTTTTTTAATTACTTTAATAATTCATTGTTGTTTTTTTAATTACTTTTAATAATTCATTGTTGTTTTTTTTTAAATTAATTCATTGTTTTTTTTTAATTACTTTTAATAATTCATTGTTGTTTTTTTTAATTACTTTTAATAATTCATTGTTGTTTTTTTAATTGCTTTTAATAATTCATTGTTGTTGTTTTTATTACTTTTAATAATTCATTGTTGTTTTTTTATTACTTTTAATAATTCATTGTTGTATTTTCTAATTACTTTTAATAATTCATTTCATTATCATCTCCTCCAGGGGAATAAAATTTTGGGTTGATTATTCTTGTTGTTATCATCATCACCTGGAGAATAAAGTCGATTATTCATTTCATTATCATCTCCACCTGGAGAATGAAATTTTGGGTTGATTATTCATTTCATTGTCATTTCATATTCATTGTCATCCGCATCTGGGGATTAATATTTTGGGTCGATATTCCGGTTGAGTTTGTGTTTTTATTATTTTTATTTTTTACTTTTTTCTTTTTCTCTACAGGTCAGTTCAACAACAAGACTATAGAGATTTTGCCCACTGAGGCTGGCCGTTGTGGAGACGTAGACAGTAGGTAAGTTTATATGATTATGTTTTTTGTATTTTTCTCGTGTGAAATTTGATGTCTAGTAGTTTTATATTTGTCGTGTGAATACATAGATTTGTAATAAAGTTTGTGAATACAGAGAATTTTACCTAGAATTGTAATAAAGTTTGTGAATAGAGAATTGTAATAAAGTTTGTGAATACAGAGAATTGTAATAAAGGTTTTGTGAATACGAGAATTGTAATAAAGTTTGTGAATACAGAGAATTGTTAATAAAGTTTGAATACAGAGAATTGTAATAAAGTTTGTGAATACAGAGAGTTTGTGAATACAGAGAATTCTAATAAAGTTTGTGAATACAGAGAATTCTAATAAGTTTGTGAATACAGAGAATTGTAATAAAGATATTTATTTTTTTTTTACACTTTATAACAACTTTCTGTTTCTAAGCTTCAAATTTCAAATGTTGTTCCCATGAATGGGTAAAATTGTAATATCATGTGTATTATCTTTTTTTGCTTTTGCTGTACTTTCCATTATCATGAGTATCCCTCTTATTTTTTACATTTATTCCACGTTTCTCTCTCTGTATGTCTCTCCTTTTTTCCTTTCTCCATCTTTGTCCCCATTTCTTTCTCTTACTCCCCTTTCCTCTCTCGTTTCTCCGCCTTTCCGTATATATATATATATATATATATATATATATATATATATATATATATATATATATATATATATATATATATATATATATATATATATAGCGCACTCATCCAAGTCAGAAGTTATATTTCTGTGCATTTGTGTATATTCTCAATCTCCTTCTTCAATGCTTTTATCCGGCGCTTCCTCAACCATTTCATACAAATTCAAAATATTGCTCACATCAAAAGTACAAAATTGTTTGAGTTGTTTTACATTGTCATTTTATCCTTTCAACATGAACATTTATTTTTAATCTCTCATTCTACACCTTCTACAGTTTCATACAAGTCAAAGAAAATTTACTTTATTTCCTCTCTTCGCCTCCCCTCTCCCCTATCATCGCTTTCAGGTCCACGACGTAACAGCCGGTTTGTTCAAATTGTACCAGGCCCAACCCGATGAATTTTCATAAATACAGATGCAGAAATAAAGGCATATCTCTCTAAATATCTGATAGATATAATTTAACTATCTATTTGCCGGGTTGATATGCATGTCTAGACTGATTGATGTGCATTTATTTCTCTATTTATGCATGTGAGGTATACAAATATTCTTTGGGTCGGGCCTCGCACAATTCTAACAAACCGGCCGTTAATCTGTCTTTTCTAAACTCCATCCACTATGGCGTTGTATTGTCTAAAACATTGAACCTGCTACACCTCCCTTTTTCTCCCTTTCCCAAAACCTCCATTCCATTTACTCACTCTCTTCCAATCCTTATTGCTATCTTTCAAACGTTCACCTCCACTTTCTTCCTCCTTGGCGCCTCACACGAGTCCAAAACGTTTCTCCTCCACCTTTCTTCCTCCTTGGCGCCTTCACTCGAGTCCAAAACGTTTCACCTCCACTTTTCTCCCTCCTTGGCGCCTTCACACGAGTCCAAAACGTTTCACCTCCACTTTTCCTTCCTCCTTGCGCCGTCACACGAATCCAAAACGTTTTCACTCCACTTTTCTTCCTCTTTGCGCCTTCACTCGAGTCCAAAACGTTTCACCTCCACTTTTCTCCCTCCTTGGCGCCCTTCACACGAGTCCAAAACGTTTCACCTCCACTTTTCTTCCTCCTTGGCGCCTTCACACGAGTCCAAAACGTTTCACCTCCACTTTTCTTCCTCCTTGGCGCCTTCACACGAGTCCAAAACGTTTCACCTCCCTTCCTCCTTGGCCCCTTCACTTCCAAAACGTTTCACCTCCACCTTTCTTCCTCCTTGGCGCCTTCACACGAGTCCAAAACGTTTCACCTCCATTTTTCTTTCTCCTTAGCGCTTTCACACGAGTCCAAAACGTTTCACCTCCACCTTTCTTCCTCCTTGGCGCCTTCACACGAGTCCAAAACGTTTCACCTCCACTTTTCTTCCTCCTTTGGCGCCTTCACACGAGTCCAAAACGTTTCACTTCCACCTTTCTTCCTCCTTGGCGCCTTCACACGAGTCCAAAACGTTTCACCTCCACTTTTTTTCCTCCTTGGCGCCTTCACACGAGTCCAAAACGTTTCACCTCCACTTTTCTTCCCTTGGCGCCTTCACTCGAGTCCAAACGTTTCACCTCCACTTTTTCTTCCTCCTTGGCGCCTTCACACGAGTCCAAAACGTTTCACCTCCACTTTTCTTCCCCTTGGCGCCTTCACACGAGTCCAAAACGTTTCACCACCTTTCCTCCTTGGCGCCTTCACGAGTCCACGTTTCAGGGCCTTCACACCAAAACGTTTCACTCCACCTTTTCTTCCTCCTGGCGCCTTCACACGAGTCCAAAACTTTTCACCTCCACTTTCTTCCTCCTTGGCGCCTTCACAGTCAAAACGTGGCGCCTTCACACGTCCAAAACGTTTCACTCCATTTCTTCCTCCTTGGCGCCTTCACTCGAGTCCAAACGTTTCACCTCACTTTTCTCCCTCCTTGGCGCCTTTCACACGAGTCCAGTTTCACCTCCACTTTTCTCCCTCCTTGGCGCCTTCACACGAGTCCAAAACGTTTCACCTCCACTTTTCTTCCTCCTTGGCGCTTCACACGAGTCCAAAAACGTTTCACCTCCACTTTTCTTCCTCCTTGGCGCCTTCACACGAGTCCAAACGTTTCACCTCCACTTTTCTCCCTCCTTGGCGCCTTCACACGAGTCCAAAACGTTTCACCTCCACTTTTCTTCCTCCTTGGCGCCTTCACACGAGTCCAAAACGTTTCACCTCCACCTTTCTTCCTCCTTGGCGCCTTCACTCGAGTCCAAAACGTTTCACCTCCACCTTTCTTCCTCCTTGGCGCCTTCACACGAGTCCAAAACGTTTCACCTCCACTTCTCTTCCTCTCCAGCGCCTTCATACGAGTCCAGCGCCGCAATCCGCAAGGGGGCTTCGAGACGTCCCACGTGTGCGGCGAGCGAGGCAGTCGACACTCGGCCCTCAGCGGCAGGGACGTCGAGTGCATCAACGTTTCCGACATGGGTTCAGGCCTCTTGGATCGACGCAGATACGACCTCCAGTGCCTCGGCTGCGCGGCCAGTCTAACCTAGGACTCGTGAAATTAAACAGATCTTTTTAAGTCTCCGTGTGTGTGTCTTCCAGGGCTGCCTGTTGGGCGGAAGAAAAATGCGACTGAGGAATATCTTGAGCTTTAAAACAAACAACAGTTTAATGTGAATAGAATACTAGATCTATGTAGATGATTGCGAATGTTTGCGGACCATATTTTGCGTAAGACATAAAGTTTTCCATGATTCCTTGTTGCTCTACACCAATCTTTCTTCCTTTCTCCTTTGGCTCTACGTTTTCTTCTTTGCCCCTTCTTATTCTCCTTCGGTCCTCCCCTCTCTCGTCTTTCTCCGACTCCCGCTCTTCTCTTCTTTGTCTATCGACCTTTCGGTAAACAGGACAAGAAACATAACTGTATATTATCCAATGTGAAGTGAGGTGTGTGTGGTGCGCATGCGTGGTGCGAGCATCCGGGAGTGGTTTTTAAGAATGGAAGTTATTGAGCTTTTCATGACAATCTTAGATTTATAAGTCTTCACTCGTCACTTAATCGTTTTCAGCAACCGACATCGATCTTAATTATGTAATTTAATGTATAATAGGATATAAAAATAATTAGTAATTCGTAGAGAGTGAATGTTACTGTATCAGTAGAATGGATATAATTCACTACATCTCGACAGTCAATTTATCCTTGACTTCAGTTTGTATTGTTAATTGTGTAACGGCGGGAAAAAAGGAATTTAGTCACTAATCTCAAAAGAAATACCGGATCGAAAAAAAAAAAAATTTTCACCCGCTAAGAAAGAAGTCGAACCGACGCCATATTGTTGGAACCACTTTTGCGCCAAAGCAGAGTTCAAGTTCTTTCCAAAAGAATTTTTTTCGTCCTTTTCTTGCCTGATACACGTGGAATCAGTGTAATTTTGGTTCTCACTTTCCATCCATACATTTTAAAATATTTTCAGCGTATTTTATGAAATTAGCATCAGTAGAGGATTGTGTACACTGTCTGTGTTTAGGCCACCACAACTAACTCCTCCTCAACAAGGGAAATGTTATAATATTTTAGATATATTTTAAAATGTATGTAGATTATAGTAGCCATGAAAAAATAAATGCATTCTCTTTTGCGTGGAACATAGGTAGAACAAGTGATTTATCCATGATTGTTATTCTGCACTGTTCCGCACGCTGAGATTCCAAGATGGCCGCCACTAGATTTCGTCGACTTTAGTTTTAAAATTTGGAACCTGATCCTGTCGTTGTTTTGAGATTAGTGGATTCAATTTAAGGTGTAAAATTTATCCTAAATATTAACTCGTGTACAGTATACATTTCTTGGGTTTCATAACAATAAACCATAAAGAAAAAGTGAAGTTTGTATTTTTTATTCCATTTCCACCTCAAAATTCGGAGAAACTTGAAAAAAATAAGCTTTATCTTATGTCTATTAATAAGAAATTGCAAGTGAAACTATGAGAAGACAGAAAACAAAGCCAATTGAAAAGTTTTCCAATAGAATTAGCTTAAAGTAGAATTAGTAAATAAAAAATAAATATTGAGATAGGTCTTTTGCACGAGACTCCTCCAATAAAAGGTCATCCAATTGATGTGTAAACTTAACTTTTCTCGTTTTATATACAATTTTGATATTATTTTGATATAAGTTTTTACGAATGCAATTTTCACGCCCGGGAAATTTGAATCCAAGCCGGTGAGTTATATAATAGCAAGGTGTATTAGTAGTCTCTGCGACGATGGACTGTTGTGCAAAAGTGAAGAAAAATGCAGAAAAGGGAGATGAACCAAGATGAAAAAAGGTTAAAAAACAGTAGAAAAAGAAGAAAATCAGAATTGGTAGAAGACCGAGAAACCTACGATAAATTTGTGACAGCAGAAGGTTAGATCTTTGGGATGACAGGGTGTGTATGTTATGATATAATTATAGAAAAAAAAAAAACATTGGGATAGTGAGGCCCACTTCATATACCAGCAAAAAACGAAAAGTGTCCTAACTATCTTTGTTCTTTAGGAACAAATCTGCCCAAAATAGTTCTGTTTTTTTTTCAGCATACATTAAATATACATCGTTTTGACTATTGTCTGAAAACTTCAATGAAAATATATCCATGAGAACATGTATTAATTGCGTTTTAATTATGCCATTTTTCACACTTCTGTCTTACCGGGCTGATGACGTCATCAGGTGGCAAGGCGCGCCTCGTGGTCAGTCGAGTAACCCTGTGAATGAGGGAAAAAACCTGCCGTTTCATTGGCTTTGTGTGCGGGCGTTTCGAAATTTTAGCCAATGAAATTTGTTTTTTCTAATTGGTCACGGGTCACGTGATCAGACCCGAGTCGCGCTTCGAATGCTTCAGCCGCGTTTTAGAAATGGGTAAGTAATCTTGAAATACTGTCGAAGTACGAGCGAGTGTGAGAGAGCGCGATGAACAGTTGTTATAATACATACTCAAGATCATTTGGACCTAATTCCAGTAAGAAATATTTGAGATTCCACGCCAAACATTTGATTGAAAAGTGTCGGTCCCCGTCCGAGCGAGAATGCTTATCCTATCCAAGATGGCGGCGCCCATGACTGCCGTTTGTTTACACTTGCACACAGAACGATCACTCGCTTGTTGCTGCTAAATATCTGAGGAATCGTGAGACTTACTGTCAGTTTTTGGCATAAATGCTTAGTATTTGCATTGTTTGAATGTATGTAGTAGGTTTCCCGGTTTTTTGTTTTGGTTCAAATGAAATTCGATTAAATTAATCGTTTGTCTGTCCTATGTATTGGCTGTGTATATTAGCTGTACATTGCTAGTGTACATTATTTACGTATGATTCTGTTGTGTTTTGATGCCCTTTGTATGATTTTTTAAAAAGATATCTTAAATCAAATTGATGTCCAATATCCTTCAGCAGCAAATCACATCAGCTGCGAATCATCAGTATGGGCATATGACACATGCCCATACTGTAGGTCGTGTTTGATTTATTGATTTATGGGTCATGTTCGAATTCTGTCTGAAATTCCACTCAAATAGCTCTTTTGGTTTGCAAGATATTGTCCATCAAAAATGGCTACAAGTGGCAATTTGCGTAAAAAGTGGGCGTGGCACTTTTTGGGGCCTTCCTAATTACCATTCTGCAAAAACAGGCCTGAAATGTGGTTTTTAACACCCAAAGAGCATTTTCTGTAAAAAATCGAACCCTTTTCTTTGATTTTTTTCTGATTTTGGGTTTGGACACTGGACTGAATTTTTTTGGAATCTACTGAAAATCTCACTTGAGCCATTTTCAGTGACTGATATCTCGCCAACTAAGTATCCCAGGAACCTGAAATTTGCAGGATGTGTTAACAGTATCCCTGGCAGCATGCCGGGATGGGTAGTCCATTATCTACAATTTTATGATGCTTCAAAAAAAAAATAATAATAAAAAGAAAATAAAAAAACTGAAACAAGAAACACCACATTCATGGTGGGCCTCACTATTTGGGATGACAGGGTGTGTATGTTATGATATAATTATAGAAAAAAAAAAAACATTAGAGAACTGGGAGTATGGCAAAAAAATGAAGCCTTGTAAAGCCTAGTAGACCAGTATTCTAAGGAGTGGTCTGGAAAGAGAATATCCATCAACATCCTATTTTTATATCGGTAAGGGAAGTAATTAAAAGCTGAACGAGGATTCTTTCATGTATTCTGTGACACTTTCAAAGAAGAATGCTGGTTTAAACGACTGCCGTGATTTTATCAGGTGTGATGTGACGGAAGTACATTGGTAGTCGAGAAATGCAATGCATATATATACCTGTATATTGTACATCTTGCACTGATGTGTGATGGTTAATATCTCGAGCATTTTATGATGAGAACAATTCTCATTAAAAGTGAGAACAATTCTCATTAAAAGGTAATGATTTTTTTTCCTAACACTGACGACTTATCACGTAACAAAATTCTTAATTGAAAAGAAAAATACTGCTGGTAGAATAAACAATATTGTTTCAGTAACCAGTCCTCTACAGTCTACATGAGCCCCTATTCATTTATACAATACACATCCGAATGATACTTTGCCAATATTATAACTAGGATAAAAGTGAATACAATCTTTGAACAGTCATTATCCTTACACTTCTGTCGATGTCATAACTACTCTCATTATATAACAGATTTTGGAATAAAAACAATGTCCTCGACCTCAGTAAGAACAGTATTGGGACAAACATATGTTAGTTTTTGTTATTATACATCAAATGAAGACAAAATAACCCGTTGAATACATAGCTTCGTAAATGAATGGAGTAAAAAAAAAAAATCTGGAAAGGAAATGAAATATTCGATACGGTGTTATTTCCAAGTCATGTTAAATCAATGATATGTACGATCTCAATGTTTTTTATTATCCTACGAATATCATGTATGAAAGACCAATCTAACATAGTTGAAAATGTACTTAGCGCATGCATATTTTGTATACGTGTAATTCTTTGCTTAATAATCGATTTTATTTTCATTATCGTTGTTGTAGCCGTCTTTACTGTTGTTACCACTGCTTCGCTATTACTATCGTTAGTATGAGTATTAAAATTAGTAGTGCGAGTAGATCTAGTATTGTTATTGATATAATTATTAGGAAAGTTATCATTACAGCGATTCCCATGTTCTTCAAACTGCCGGTCTGTTAAAGATTTGGCGACAACCAACCAAAAGCATATTTATGACACGGACACGCATATACAGAAATAAATGCATATTTATCACTCTAGATAAGCATATCTACCGTATAGTTAGATAGGCGAATGTGTATATATTCCTGATAGATAAACATTTATTTCTGTGTATATGTTTGTACATCTGAATATATTTATTGGGTCGGACCTCTCACAATCTGAACAGAACCCGCCGAAAGAATCGATAGAGAGTCCATTATTACGCTCGCCAATGGAGAACGATCAGCAACGCAAAATATAGTTTATCCTGATTTAAAAAAAAAGGGAGAGAGAAACAAGGATAAGAAGAAAAGAAGAAGAGAAAGGATAAGAAAATTCTGCTTCGACGGGGGTTAAAATCAGCAGGAAAGACAGGGCAGCACGTAATCGCGAGGTGACCCGTTCAGAATCCCCCTGCCGCTGTTCCGGATGTGGATGCACTGCACTTGCTTCTTGCTCAGCGAAGACCGCCGCTTGGCCATGATGCCTGACGTTTCGGACAGGTGGAGCCGCTTCGTCGGGGTGTGGCGGTGCACGGACAGCCGCACACTGAACCAAAATTGGATAGATATAAGTGCATATAAATATACATACTTACAGACATGCATATATTCATACATTCATACATTATATGTTCATACATGTGTGTGTGTGGGGGGGGGTTGTGTGTGTGTGGGTGTTTGTGTGTGTGTGTGTGTGTGTGTGTGTGTGTGTGTGTGTGTGTGTGTGTGTGTGTGTGTGTGTGTGTGTGTGTGTGTGTGTGTGCGTGTGTGTGTATCAGGCCTGTAAATGCATACGTACAAGTATACACTCACACGCGTGTATGCGTGCGTGCCTACGTTCATAGAATCATATATATTTCTTTCTTTCTTTTCTTTTCTTTTCGTGTAAAAAACAAATAAACCAAGTGGATGGACTCACACATTCTGTAGGTCGCCTTTCGGGCTGGTGGTGAGGATGGTCTCCGAGACAGAGATAACTTCCTTGAAGATGAACTGACCTGGAGGAGGAGGAGACGCGTTACTGGGACGTCGGGAGCAGAGGTCTCAGGTCAGCCCCCTTCCTCTGCTAGCCTAGTCATCTCATTCTCTTTCTCTCGCTGTTTGCTTGTCTACATCTCTTTCTCTCTTCTCTTCTCTACTATTTTTTTCTCTTTCTCTTTCACTCTCTCTCTCTCTCTCTCACCTTCTCCTTCTCCCCTTTCTTTCTTTCTCCCTCTCTCTCTCCCTTTACCCCTCTCTTTCTCTCTCTACCTTTTTTCCTATCTCTCTCTCTCTCCCTCCCTTCTTCCCTTCCCCTCTCTCCCTCCTTCTTCCCCTCCCTACTTCCCTCCTCCCCTCCCTTTCTCCCTCTACCTTCCCTCTCTTCCTCCTTCCTCCCTCTCTTCCCTCTCCCCTTCCTTCCCTTCCCCCCCTCTCTCCCTCCTCCCCTCCTCTCTCCCTCCTTCCTTCTCTCCTCTCTCCTCCTTCCCGTCCCTCTCTCCCTCCTTCCCCTCCCCTTACCTATGACCCCGTCCGTGTCATTGGAAAGGATTCCAGATTCCTTCACGTAGAATCCGAGGAAGTACTGCTTCCGCTTGTTCTTGGAGCGGACGACGACGAAGTGCGTCTCGCCGTCGCCCAAGACGATGTGGAATTTCTTGCGTCCGTCGCGGGTGAGGGTCACGTCGTCGAACCTGAGGGAAGAGGAAGGCGAAAGCTTTTTTTTTTTTTTTATCCTTTTCATTGTCTTTAGCTTTTTTTTATCTATTTTATTATGTTTTTCTTTTTCTCGTAATTTGTTTTTTCGTCTTTTTCTTTTTTTTTTATCCTTTTCATTGTCTTTCTTTTTTGTTTTTAATCTATTTTATTATGTTTTTCTTTTTCTCGTAATGTGTTTTTTTTCGTCTTTTTCTCTTTTTTTTTTGTTCTTTTCGTTGTCTTTTCTTTTTTGTTTTTTATCTATTTTATTATGTTTTCTTTTTCTCGTTTTTTCTCTTTCTTTCTGTGTTAAGACTGATGGAATGATCATAATAAGTGGAATAAACGTTTGAAAAGATTACATACTCAAAATGGAACTTTTTTTTCTTCTTAATTAGTCCTATGTTTTATTAATCTCTAGTAATTTATATCTGGTAGATTATGAACGTGTTGTTGCCCATTGAAATTCCAGTGAATTAATGACATATTTCGCTAAACGGTCGAGTCTTACTTCTTGCCTTTTGAATTTCTTGATTCAACCCTTTAAAGACCTTGTTTTTTCCCTTTAAATATCCTACTTCTTCCCCTTAATTCGCTGACTTCATTTCTTGTAAGTCCCTCCACGTCAGTCCCTTCTCTTCAGCTTACTTCACCTCTTTCGAGATCCTTCCTTCCTTTCCTTCCTCTGAAGTCATCCTTCTAGAAATCGTCTTGAGCTCACTTCACCCACTTCAGAACCCTTCCTTCCTCCCTCTGAAATCAGAACCCTTCCTTCCTCCATCTGAAATCCTTACTTGATCCTCGAAGCTCCTCCCAAGAAGTTATCCGACGACACGCTTCTGCCGATGACGAATTTTCGGCGGAGCGGTCCGCCCGACTGTCTCTCCGCCCTCCTCCTCCACCTTCGATTATTCTTTCTCCTTTTTACGCCTCTCCGTGACATCGTGATTGAGCGTACCTACACATGGCACAAAAATTAGTGCAGGTTGATAATTATAATTCTATTAAGATATAAAGTTCATAAGAGTATTAACTCCGTCCAAGGTCAGGCAAGGAAAGAAAAAATACAAACTGGCAACTTTCCCCAAGCCTCGAGAAGTCTCATCGGAAAATAAAATGAAGGTAAAAAACATCAAAGTTCAATACAAAACTTATATATATATATATATATAATAATTATAGAAAGAGATAGAGAGAAGAGAGATAGAGAGAAAAGAGAGAGAGAGAGAGAGATTGACAGATTAAATTAAGAGACTAATTGAATTTATTTATATTCTAAGACTGCACACCCTATAGTAACCGCGTTGCAGATTTCTCTTTTCTTTCCTTCTTAGACTGAATAAAAAAAGTAGCAATATGCACACGTCCTTACAGCTCAGTACAGTAATACCCAATTTTCGCTTACCGTCTGCGTTCCGTCTGCGTTCAAACAGTCGAAGGTAACGTAGTGCGGTGTGATTGTAACATTGACGCGGCCGAGGTTCAGGAACAGCTGTGTGAAATACGTCATGCTGGGGTTGTGTCTCGCCGCTGACACCTGTCCACTAACCTTTATGCCTTGTAAAAATAGTAAAAAGTTCTGCATTTGTCTATGTAATGGGTAACTGAATCTGCTCTCTCTCCTTTCTCCTTTCTCTCTCCTCTTCTCTTTCCTTTCTCTTCCTTTCTCCCTCTCTTCTCTCTTCTTTCCCCTCTCTCTCTTCTTCCTCTCTCTCTCTTCTTCTCTTTCTCTCCTCTTCTCTCTCTTTTCTCCTCCCTCTCTTTCTCTCCTCCTTTCTGACGAATCCAAGTGGAATGGAAAGAAATTTCACCAAAGCAAGAACAATATAAGACCCTAATATGCAAGTAAAACTTTGGGAAATAAAAGCTTTTTGAATGGTACTAAAAAAGAAAAAAGAAAAAAAAAACTAATAGATCGATTTAGATTATTTAGTTTAATTACAAATATTACTCTTAAAATAGCAAAATGTGTTTTTTTTTCTGCATCAGTTCACCAAAATTGTGCTATGATGTCCAAGGTAAAAATTTTGGCAGCTGTACAAAGCAAAATAAATAATGATATCGAAACTTTAAGAACCAGTCTTCTGTGTCATTTTAATTGCCATTGTTATTTCTACGACAAAATAGATGTAGATTCATTTCCTTCCGCTCTGCAACTTATATAATCAATACATTTTTAAAAGGAAATCGGGTTGGTCTGCTTTAAGGAAAATCAAATTTCTTCTTTCAGTGAGCTTGCAATCTGGCATTAGGAGCTAATAACGAACATTCGAGACTAGTGCATTAGTAGAGACATTCGTTATACATAAACGAACTTACTAAAAGGTAGCATAAGACTATATACGGAAGATAGGAAAGCGTAGAAGAAGTCTGTGAGCTCTAACGGTTGGCGGAAAGTGTGATATCTGTACAATAGATGGCGCTGTAAGGATTTTTTGGGCCTCCTTATAGCGCCATCCATTGTACCGCAATTATTTATTTACCAATTTATTTATTTTTCTTTTTTTTTTACGGTGTGATGCGTGCTTTCTTATCTTTCGCATATAGTCTTTGCTCCGGGTTGAGTATTTTGGAAATACTCATATTTCAGTAAGCATAGTTTGCGTATAGTTTTTTGCTACCCTTTGTCATTCACACAAAGGATTAGGAAATAAGTAAAACAGACGCAAAAATAACGTTATAACTTCACGCTCGAGATCTAAGGTAAAATTGGACTAAATCGAGCTCAGTGACTCACCAGACACGGGGTCCTGGATGAGATTGATAGCATCCCCATCTGAAGCATGTAAATCGAAGCACAGGGGTAGCTGTAGGCCTTCCACGTGGACGACGAAATGGGGGTCGTTGTCCACTGTTAGTTCAGACACAGAGGCAGATCAAGTTTTCCAATTCCAGTTTTTTTCCCCTCCAAAAAATGTGGTATAGCACAATTATCCTACACTGCTGTCTACTGACAATAGAGCACATTATTTCATCAGATTAGACTGTAGAATCGCATAATTCCTTAGAACTCACCGAATTGAGAAGAGCCAGTGGGACCACGACTACCATGAACTATCCCTGTATTAGTGTAGAGAATAATGTCATTAACGGAGAGAACCACAGGAAGCATAGAAATTGACACAGACATGCGTAGTCTTTATCCTTGTCCATTATCGGTTTTAAGGATTTTAATTATTGTATACATGAGTATAAAATAGAGGTATGTGTAGTGTATTTCTTGTGTATAATATAAAGCACATGCTTTAACTATCTAGTCAAAGGCATATTATGAACTGGGAGGTAGGCGACATAAGGAGCTCCTGTAATGAAGATAAAATATTATGTACCCTGGAATAAATATAAATTATTTCATCCTGTACAAACAAAATACTATGCCTCCTGGAAAATGTACCATTTATTCCGTAAAAAAAAAACGATGAAATACAATGTGTATCTTATAATGAATATTAAGTACTATATATCTTTTAATACAGATTAGATTTAGTGTACTCTAGAATGACGATAGAATATTAAATATAGTTATGTACACTCCTTCAAGCAAGACTTGCAAATACTGCACAAGGCATAGTGGTGATGTCTACACAGACAACTATAAAGCATAATAACAGTAACAGTAATAATAGAAATAAGTATATAAAAAGAATTGTGTATAATGTAAGCATTGAGCCCAAGCCAGTGCGTTACAATTTTGCTCCCGGTTTATAGGAAAATGTTAAATATTGAGAAGTAGGCCTACTGCATATTTTTATATTCACGCCTAACAAAGGGTGCAACAGTGGAGGAACTTGAGGTCATAAACAACTGAACTAGAGAACTGCATACTGTGCACCAGAGGCAAATAGTAAATGAGAAAACATGCCATGCAAACAATATATTCAGGTATAGTTAATATTGAATCCACCGTTAATCTGGAATCTATTAATGTTCACAAGATAGTCAAGGTTTGCAAGGGTAAGCCCCCCATTGCCCCCCAAAAGATAGGCATCTCTTAGTGTACTAGATACTAAGATCTCACGTTCTCACAAAAACCTCAATTCAAGCACAGGAATTACCTCGTATCCAAGAAAAACTGGGTGAAAAACATTTCTTGTTCCATCAGGTTAGACTGTATAATAACGGAATTCGTAGGAAATGAGAGATAGAACCAATTTTACGATAACCCATTTCACCTGCTCCTGAATCTGTGTATCAACTCCCATTATCGGTTACAATGACTTTATTTTTAGTTGACATGAGTATACAACAGAAGTACCCTTGAAATCTGTAGATGTTCACCAGAAGGTAGTCAAGGCTTGCAAATTGTAAGCCACACATTGCCCCAAGAAAGATGGGATTCCTAATCATGAAGTATATGAAATTATTGTCTTTGTATGTCATGTGGTGTACTAGATGCTAAGATCCCATGTCTTCATAAAACTCGTATCCAAGGTTTTGATTGGGGAGGGGGTATTGGAGCAACTTACAGGGCTTGAAGTAGCAGTTTACTGTTACAAAAAGAAAACTGGTGGCAGAGGAACATAGTGTGTTTTTTTTATCGAATTAGACTAGAAAACACAGAATTCATAAGAACTCGCCAATATGATAGTCAAAACGGTAGCCACGGGAAGGACTAAGCACTGCTAAATCATCTGTGCAAGGAATAATGCAGTGGGCTACGATATAGTCCTGGATTCATAGACTACTCTGGAACCTTACTGTGTTAAGACCTCAAACCAGGTTAGGACAAAACGCCTCCTCAATACATTATTAAGATTGTAAGAAGTAAATGAGAAAACATAACATACAGGCAGTATAAGCACGTAAAGACAAATAATGAAGTCTTCTTAATATGGAAACAGACCCCATGCGACATTTCGTAAGAAACCAATATTTTTTTTATTATTATTCTTATTCTTATTATTTAATTATTTTATTTCTTATCACACGCCTTGGTTTACTTCCCGATGACGTAAAGTATCTGGGGTTTCATTCACGACTCTAGTTTCCCTGCTTTTTTTTTTTTCTTCTTTTATCCCCTTAATATATTCTCCAACCTGAACTTGAAGGTTTTGAGATTTAATGAATGTACACGAAATTGTTTGAAAATATTACTTTTTTTTGCGCGTGTAACATTTCATGGGTATTGGATCACCAAAGACAGATGATGCATCTCCTCTCACCCTTGAAGTTATTGTTGTTCACCTCAGATAGTCGAGGTTTGCAAGTGCAGCCACCCACTGCCCCAAGCAAGATGGAACCCTCTGTACCGAAGTGGAAAGAAATTTTTTTTGCATCACCTCGTGTCCTAGATGCTAAGATCACACAAAACCCTTAATTCCAGTGGGGGACGTGTCTCTTACCCAAGGCTTTTCTTGGGGTATGTGGGTATTAGAGGAACTCGCATGGCTTAAAGTAGCAGTTAACCGTTGGATGGATGAGGAACTTAAGTGTTTTTTGTCTGTTGTTGTTTGGGGGAGGGGCTTAGATACAAGAAGAACTGAAATCGTAGGAACTTACTATTGGCACGGGAACTATATCTGCTAACAGGTCTAGTTGATCCACGATCTGTGTAGAGAATACTGCAGTGAATACGAGAAGCATGAGTGGAAGCGTGGAGATATAAATAGACATGCATAGTCCTACATGAA